GGGCCGCCCTTCCCCCAGGTGGCTGTAGAGGCAGGATGGTCAGTCTTGCCGCCTGGGACCACCCGTTCTCTGAACACCAGCCCTGCGGGGCCGCAATGCCACGCTCAGCTCATCTCGAGGCATCCAAAGCTCAGGACCAAGTCCATGCACCAGCCTGCCCCTCGTTGGGTAACCCTGGGCAAGTGACTCAGCCTCTCTGGGCTTTTCCTGAAGACCCTGCCCTCCAGGATCGATGTGAGAAATAAATCTGTGTGGAAAAAAGGATCTTGTGAAATGTAAACATGCACAATCACTATCATCTCCTCAGGAGCCTCTGAAGCAATGAGAAGATTTCAGGGCATTTTAGCCTTGGTGCCCCCCTGCCCCTCTGCCAACCTCATCTATCATATTTCCCCCGCTTCTCCGTGCTCTAACCATATTGCCTTCTTTGTCTACCGCGAATGCGCCAAGAACATCCAACCGCAGAGCCTTTGCATGTGCTGTCCTCGCTGCTTAGAGCTCCATACAGTCGTCTCTCCTTTAGCTCATGCAGTTCATTGCTAAGATGCATCTGGCCTGGCCTGGTCAGCCGATCTGAGATGGCACTTCTAGCATTCCCTGCCCCTTAGCTTGTTTCATTTTCCTTAAAGCACTTATCACTACCTCTCCTTAAGAAAGCAGAGATTGCCCTAACCGGCTTGGCTCAGTGGATAGAGCGTTGGCCTGCGGACTCAAGGGTCCCAGGTTTGATTCCGGTCAAGGGCATGTACCTTGGTTGCGGGCACATCCCCAGTAGGGAGTGTGCAGGAGGCAGCTGATCGATGTTTCTCTCTCATCGATGTTTCTAACACTCTATCCCTCTCCCTTCCTCTCTGTAAAAAATCAATAAAATATATTTTTTAAAAAAGAAAGCAGAGATCTTGCCTGGCCAAGTGTGGCTCAATGGTTGTGTATCAACCCATGAACCAAGAAGTCACCAGTTCAATTCCCAGTCAAGGCACATGCCCGGGTTGCAGGCTCAGTTCCCAGTAGGGGCAGCTGATGGATGGGGTTTCTCTCTCATTGAGAGAGCAGAGATCTTTTCCACAAATCCCACCATATGCCCAGCTTTCAGCATAGTTCCTGGCATGTAATAGAGTACTCCACAAACATCTGTTGAATGAATGAATGAATGAATGGGTGTGCATACACATGCACACACCTACAGACCAACACAAACAAGACATAAAACTCCTTAAGAGCATGAACATGACCATTTTCTCCCATAACCTTCTAAGCCCTTAGCTCAGCGTGGGCACACGGGGACACTGGGAGAGTGAATACTGAATGAATTGAGAAGCACATTCCATCACACACACACACACACACACACACACACCACACACACAAACACACTCTACAGACATCCTCTAAGGAGGCAAACAGTAATGGCAAAAATCATCCAAACCCTAACAAGGGGATCCTGTCCTCACTCCCAGGCCTCCCCTCCTGCCCCGAAATGTGCACTCACTTCCAGCAGACACCCACCCCCACCC